TTTGATGTCTGTGCACAGAATCTGGATGGGTGTATTTAATATATCATCTGCTTCCCCAGAGTGATGTACTAATGGTGACATTTTGTAAATCAATGCATGGCCATAAGCAAAGCCATTCTCTGTGCTTGGAGAATTCCTGAAGCACTTTAAAAATACACAGTCATAAATCAAATGTCATAATATTAATCTCCTAATATGGTTTAAGCATATTTACTAATTACAAGTACAAAAGGGAGTAAAACTAGAAAAAGGGTAAGCTTCCCCCGGCAATGATAGGCTAATAAAAAAGAGAATGACCAGCTGAATGCAAGCGTCAAATATCTAATGCAGTATTCCCAGATGGAGCAAAAGGATATTATGGAACATCCCTGGAATCCTACTGTGGTTTAAAAAAGAAAAAAAAAAAAAAAAAGGACATATCCTGTTACTGCCAGAAGGAAATAAAACAGTTCTCAGGAACAGATGACATGATAATTACTGTACTCATTTGATAATATTCCACATGTAAGGGTGCAATGGTATTTTAACCACTCTGAGCCTAATTGCTGAAAGAGTCTGGACTGCTTAAGTACACTGGCAGTAAGCAAGCAAGGAAGAGCTTTATTCAAAAGAGGAACTCTGTCTGTTCCTGTTGTTATCAGGAAGCCATTTGCCCCCATAAGATGTTCTTTTGCATTAACCCAATGATAATTCCATCCTGGACACTAGAGTGAAGTGCTGCACAGATCTAAGGGGTGAGACTCAGAGCTCTGAAACTTGTCTTGCTGCATAACGCAGTTTTACTATCTGCTTATCAGGCTGGTGTCATCTTGCAAAAAGCTGGGCATGGTCTTCCCTGTACTTATTAAAAGCAGATGCTAAACAGAGTGGTCTTCAAGAGATGGTTGTACTTTCTAAGCAGAACAACATGGAGGGAGATTGTCACTGAAGGACAGAAAGATGAGTGGTTTTCAAATTATACTTTTCTTGGATAAGAAAGGAGTAAATTTCAGTCCTAGGGCAAGACTGATCTTCAGGGCAATAACATGACATTCTCCTTACTTATAAAATAGCTTTGCCTCTGTGGAGATTATGTTCTGTCATACTAAATAAGAAGGTAATTAATCATTAAAGATGGAGAGTTAAATATGTGCTTGTTCAGCTAATAATTTGGTGAATATAGAGGAAGGAATACCATTTCTATATCATTATTTTCTTCAATTTCTCACTGGCTACAGCCTGATCACTTCTCTAGAAAGACTAATGTTAGGTTATTAAGCCAAGCCACGGCACACAGTATAATTTAAAGACCATCCAATCTAATTACAGTTAGTGCAGCTTCACTGTGACACAGTCTGCTGTTTGGTATGCCTTGTATCAGATCATTTTCATTTCTGTATATGTCTTTATCACAAGCAATTAATCTCATATTCTTGAAACTTTGCTGTAAAACTCTTTTCAAAATGTCCTGTGAGCATTACTAGCAGTGAGCCAACATCCTCTGACAAGCTGTGAAACACTGCATGCTGCTCATTTGTTGAGAAAGTGCTCATATGAGATTCAGGCTAGAGACTGACATTATAAAAAATGCACTTTTGCCTCTCTCCCACACTGCCTTTTCTCAGTTTCTGGCACCTACACAGAGGGGCAGAAAATTTCCACAAAGTCAGAACAGGGCTTTTTCCTTCCTACTTGACACAGGTATAAATAGATGTACATGCTGAAGTGGTAGAGATGCAGGCCATGCCCAGGCCAGGCTGAGTCAGAGTCACCCAGGGCTTCCTGTGGAGAGAGAATGCTGCTCACCATGAGTAACACCAGCCAGCTGGTGCAAACAGTGGTCTGGCTCACAAAAAGCATCCCATGATCAAAGGAGAAAAGGAAATAGGTAATGCAATACATGGCTGATTTCTCACTGCACTGCAGCTATGACTGCATTTCAGTCTGGGATAGCCACGCACTCACTGTACTTCCACTTGTACTCTTTGCACATCTGACTATCTTTTTCCTTGTCCTGTATTTCAAACAGTTATTTGCTCTAAGTGATGATATCTTTGGTAACTGACAACCACTAGGCATACCTGTGTGTAGAAACTTTTGCTTTTGTCATTATGCTACTTATTAATTTCTGACTCATGTGGACTAAGCCAGGGAGCAAATAGCATATTAATATATTCTGTGTATATCAGACTGAATTAGTCACAAGGCAAAATGCTCTTCTTGTATACTACCTGTGGATTTGGGTCAGAAGTGTAAGTCATAATTAAACACGAAGCTGAAGAACAGGCCCTTTTCCAGTATGGAGACTGGGACCAAAACCATAGTGTCCAGCAGTACTCAGGAACACAGCCTGCTCAGTCTAGCTGTCGCCACCCCACCAAGCACCAGGATTTTGTCCTTCAGAATTAAGAGAGATTTTAAATAAATCAGAGCTCTAGTTTGAGACATTTGCAATGTTCAAATGCATTAAATCTGTTTCTCCTGTGGACTTTTAAAAGGAGCTCTGTTTTTTTGTTTGTTTGGTTGGGGCTTTTTCCCCACAGCTGCCATGTACTCTGCTCAGGCAGGTCAGCTCTCTCCCATAACACCTCTGCAATATTTAATCTTGTTCTTCTCCATCATGTATCACTTTCCCTCACTCCCTCTACCACCACAACTGTGACCATCGCCTAATCCGACCTAACAGCTAACTCTTGTCTTTCCCATCCCCAGTCTCCCAGCAAGTAGCAGCAAATATTGTCACAAAGCCTGACGTTAGCAAGCTGCCATGGAGCACAAGGCTGCTACTGTCAGAGCTGCCACAGAGCTAAGAAGGCAAGTGGAGTGTTGCTGCCTGCTTCAAGGGGCTGAGGTGGGAAAGTTGCTGCCACCAAACCCAAAAGGAGATGGGAAGAGGGGCATCTAAAAACTTCTGGGGAAAAAGAGCACTTGATCAGCACCACAGGCCACTCCAGTTTGTGAGTGCAGCTACATGGAAACTGTCTGAGCAGCAGCTTCCCGTTTCCTCCAAGAAAACAGTTAGGGGCTCTGGCACTCGGTCCACACACCACCCACTTGGACTGCAGTGAACAGGATTATACCTCTATTTTCCCAGTGTTTATGCAGCCAAGGCATCAGAGATTTCCCCTTTTAGGCCTCCTTGCAATAAAAGAATCTCAAAACTAGCATGTGACAGAAAATAAATTCATCTTAGCGGAACAGCTATGAAGTTGTTTGGGTTTTTTTAATTAACCTTTTTTCCAGTTTGCAGTGGCATCAAACTCTACATGGATTCCAGACCAAAGAGTCACAAATATCTGCAGTCTGCTTAGAAAGTGAACTGCACACTTGTTCCAGATGATTCTCCCTTTCCCCTACACCACAGAGCACTCCCAGCCTTGCCAGCACGCTACCCTTTCCCAAGACACAGGGTGGGAGCAAACACTATTCAGCTCCCTGGCTGTTGAACCTTGTTCTCTTTTTTTACACTATGGCACATATTTGTGCATCGTGCAACAACCAAATGAGAACATCTTTTCCAAGTGGTATTTCTTAATGGCATTTGGAGAAAGATTTGTAAGTAATGTCACATGAATCGCAAATTAAAGCCTCCCTAACACACTTCCATGACTCTCTTTTTCCCTTGCATTTTCCTTTTTATAACTCTTTCAGTCTGTATTTTCTTTGATTGGAAGCACTGAAAAATTGTTAAAACAAAAAGTGCAAGTACTTTTCTGCTCCCTGTCTCCTACTCCCTCCAATATGTTTTATTTGTGTTCTTTTAAGTGCTTTGGATCAGGTCCTTGCCTCTGGCACTATTCCTCCAGCCTTGACTTATGTCTCGAATAGTGTCTTCTGGCAAGTCTCTTGCTCCTCACTGGCTGGCTACTGTGTGCAGGGCTCCTGCTTTTCATGGATCAAGTGCTTAGGCATCTTGAGACTAGCACTGGCCTCTCCACTTGGCTCCAATGTTTCCTTTTCAGCCTCCTCAGAAAAATGAACCAGGGTTTAATAGTTAGTTCTCAATACAGTGCTACCTTGTTTATTTTCTTCACATGTCTATTCTTTCTTTCCATCCCTGGCCACAAAGAGAAGAAAGCTGGAAGAACACAACTTTTGCCAGTTTATTACCAATTTTGAGCTGTGAAAGCTGGCATAGGACAGAGGTAAAGGGGGTGAGGGAGGACATCTAGAGGGAACAGATCAGCCCATCACCAGGCCTGTTGCTGGACCTTCTGCAAGACCCCAGAGTAATGCACAGAAATGTGGACACTATTCCTTAGCCCTCTCTTTGGCTGTAAGTAGTCTTCTCTAAGACTTCTCTAAATTTCAATTCCTCTTGTGCAAAACTTAAGTTGAGCACAGGAGCATGTGCTGGCATCCTGTACAAGAGTGAGATCTGAAGGATGGATTAGTTCAGCAAAACAGTGAAATTGTAGGCAGGAGATTATAATTCTCAGTATAGTGGTGATCGTGGCTACACTTTACTTCCCACAGTATGATGTACAAAACTGAGAGAAAACATCTTTTCAGTTGTCCTAGAAATAAAATTTTTGAGGAAATGAAAATAAAGGGTACTTGGCTTTAGATCGACTGTATGGTTTTATTTGGCTAAAGTTTTTGTTTTGGGTAAATTCAGTTTCTTTCAGTCCCTTTAAAGAAGATTAATTATGAAAAGAAAATATAAACAGGAGACACAGCAAACTTCCCTTTAAAGATGTAGAAATAACATGTTTTAAAGTTTTTGGACATTGCATCTAATCTCAGGTGGCAGCTAGACTCTCGGTAGCAAATCTAGGCACCTGCAAAGTGATCCATCCTCCCTATTGCACACATCTGGCTTAAGGTAGGAGGATGTGCTCTCTGGTAATGCTCTACTCCCTACTGATCGTGGAGGAAAGACAGACAAACTGTTTGGACTTAACTTTTGACTTTTAATGGCTAAATTTAGATACGCTAAATTTCCCCTTGTCTTCTGCATCCTTATTGTTTTTTCTTGGTGAAAACCTGATTTTTCTTGTTTCTAGAATCTAGGTACATACCTTCAAGAAGTCACGGTCACAGTCAGATCCATCTTCTATATCAAAGGCTGTGAAGCTATAGCTGAGTGTGTTCCCCTTTGTAGTTTGGATAGTCCAGTTGCAGTGTTCATTTAATGGGTAATTATTTGGATAATTTAAACTTTCCAGTATGCCATGGCTACGATTAACAGTCAGTACTTTGTGGCAAACTGGAAAAAAAAAAAAAAAAGAGGTGATAATAAATTATATTTGTGCATTGCTTATTAACCCAGTATCTCAAAAAATTACTAATTGAAGTTACTAATAGCATTACAAGGTAAAAAATATTTTTATTCACAGATTAGAGAAATCATGCAGAAAGAGAATTGTGAACTATTGAAGAACATATTGCATATGTTGCAAACAAAATACAGACTTTACAAACTTGAATCCTTCAGCTCTCGTGTCCTTTTTTTCTACACTTGCAGGCTCATCAGTATATGTAGTACATATATTTTTTGGCAATTTTCTTTGATTATAAATACATGGTTATTCCTGAGACGGGTTTTTTTTGTTGTTGTTGGTTGGTTGGTTTTTGGGGTTTTTTTAACTAATAATAGAAATTTGCCCTGTTATTTGAAACAGTTTGGGGAGGATGCTCAACAAAGATTGACTAAAGGATTAAAGTGGTTTATTTCAGCAAACTGGAAAAAAAATTACACGCCCTGGCTAAAACAACAAATGGCAAGTACACTACTTATATTGTATTTTCTAGCTACAGAAACTGGAAGTGATAATGAAATTTTTTAAAAAGAAGCCATAATTTTCCAATAACATCCTAGCATAAGAACTGAACACTTACCTGCAATAATGAGAGCTTTCCTTGAAGTGCAGAGAAAATTTAAAAGAAACTAAACTAGATAAAGCGTGAAATTACAAGTATGGCATTAGGTAAGTGAGTCTCATTTTCCTATATCCAACAAAAGACAGAAGACATCAATGTGGGCATTCCCTTGTCTGGAGACAGCATACAATGTGTATGGGGAGCAGACCAGTGTAACGCACAGAGGAGAAGTGGGCAGGAGACAGGAAGCAAGACAGGCCGTTTGCTTTGTACAGCAAATCTGCAGTGTTTGAACAGCAGAAATAGCTGTGGTTCACCTGCAACACTCTTCTATTGTCTTTCACTAGGGATAATACACCTACCTCCTGCAATTTTTTTTTATTCTTTCCTAATGATTTACAGAGCAGCAAGCTTTGTGTTTTTAGAACTTCAAAATGCTCATGATACAGCTGAAAATCAGCATCAGGTGGAGTGGAGCTTGACTGCAAAGCTACACTGAAGCATACAACTGTTTGGAAGGACAGGGTGAAAAGCACAAAATGGATTTTGAAGACTGCAAGATGGGTAAAAGCTGCTATCCCCTGCCGTCAGGATTTTATTAGAAACATATCAGACACAAAGGTGCCTTTGAATGTTAACTTGATACAATGTTTTCCAATTCATCATTACATTTCTTTCAGGAACACATAAATGCATCTGGCATCTAAGCATTCTTATTTTATACCACTATTTCCTACATAATTTTAGCTTTTGGGCAAGCCATTGAAAGCTTTTTCTGATGCATCTTTAGGAATTAAATATGAATGTTAAGTGTACATCACATTATTTGGTAGCTCAGGTTCTACATCTGAGTGCTTTGAAAGGGCTCTTTCTGTTTAATTAATGAAGCGGGGGGGGAACCCTTTTCTAGTATATCATCTTGACTTTGCAGTCTGAAAAGTACATGGTAGATGAATCTGTGATATCTTTAAGGAATGAGCCAAAGCTCCCTCATTCCTCTAATTATTATATGCACCATGTGTAGAAGAATAGCTTTGTTTTTTTTGTAATCCATTTAGTGTTGTCCAAACCTAGGACAACTTAATGTCTATAAACCTACAACAATCTCTGTCACTTGGGCATGTCATATTTAGGGTACACAAAGATGCTTGCAAATCATTTGTGTGTGGTGAAATTCCATATCTTCCAATATGCATTTAACCGTATATGCCAGAGTGTATAAGGAGAAAAGTAAACACTGGGGCAATATTCAAGGTGATTACTGGGCACAAAATAACTTTAATTTGTCATATATCTTCTTGGATTTTTCTCCAAATGTTATTATTCTGATATTTCTGGGGTAGAACTATTCTATAAAAAAAAAGTTTGCTAGAAAAATGTGACCCTTGCCATAAGATATAAAAAATTGAAACTTTTTCAATTGTTCCAGGTAGGCTAAATGATCCTAAGCACCCATAACGATCCAGGATGGCTGAGGGTGACTCACTTACCCTTTGCCACCTTGCCTCACAAGCAGCTAGAAGAGCAGAGAAGCTTGTCCTATCTGCCTTCTCTGTTAAAAAGTCAGGAGACTGGGTGAGCAGAAGAGCAGGAACAGTCCAATCTACCCTGTTAGGGACTTCCTGCACTTGTTAGTCTGAGTAAATCTGGAGTGGTAAATGCCACTGGTACAGGTAATAGAAGCAGAGCCATTTCACCAGCTTTCTTCTAGGGAGGAGATAATCTCCATCATGGGTAGATGAGCAGATTATTTTTAGCTCTCTTTGTTCTCTTAACTGTAGCAGGCTAGAAAATCTGGGTCAATAATGTGCTCTACACATTGTCCTCTGCTCATGAATAGCTAAGATCATGGGCCTCAAGAAGCAGTTTCAGGAACAAGCTGAAATGTAGAAACATGTTCTTCTCACCTTCTTTTACTTACTTACCCTGTTTGTATTTGGCTAAAAACCCTCCACCTTGCAGACTGCTATCCGTCCTTAGTTTTACATACATGCTGTCTCCACTGGAATGGATGAGTTGTGGTATCTGATTCCCACAAAATTTACCTAGCTGTTTATTGTTACTGCTGTTGCCATCATATACCTGCAAAGAAATAAAGAAATAAAACTGATGGCATTACAAATCCAAGCAATTTCCCCCTGACAAATGTCTGTTTAGGGAATTGTTACTGGGTATACAAGAGGTTAAATTCTGTTTCTCCTCAGAGGAAGCCTGACAGGCATTTCAGAAACAAGCAAATCAGTGGAAAAACAGGAAGCCAGTAACTGAATACTGGTTGGTTTTGAGGGGCTTACTCATCAAGAGGGGAAAAACTGCACTCCATTTAAACTCTATTAAAAATATGAAAATAATTTTTGCAACAATCCAAATATGAAATTTGGGATTAACAATAGGGTTATTGACACTATTGTGTCTTTTTCCTTGTAACTTACTAAAAAAGCATACTAAATTTATGTGGTCCAAAACACAGCAAATGTAAAAGATACATACAGATTCTTTTTTCAGTGGCCTTTCTATCTAGACATAAAAGCTCTTCTTACCAGCAGCTACACAAACATTGCTGCCTTACCTCTCACTGCCCTGTGATACAAAGGTAGCATGTCAGCATGGAGCTTTCCTGTTCTGGGTCTGTTCTCTTACAAACATTTGAAGGCTAAGGCCATGTGTTTTTCCTTATCTGTGTACTCATCATATTCAGCTGTCTCCTATAGATCAAAGTGTCACAGGGTACATACCGCAAGGTAATCAAAGTTGCAGTTTGGGTGATACTGTAGATGGAACTGTTCAAACTGGATTTCAAATGGGGTTCCTCGGTTTCCTCTGAGCAACCAGTAGCACTCTGAATTGTGGTAATACGGCATAGGGTAGTTGGGAGACATGAAGACACCAGAAGATGTTGTCAAAGTCCCACCACAACCTGAAAGTGGCAAAGACACCAAACCAACATTTAACACCTAGAAGTGTAGAGAATTAGACATAGTGTGTGAGAGTCACACTACTGACCTCCTTCACATGCCCTGAACATTTTCAATGATGCCCCAAAAATCTGCATTTAGCCAACAACGTTGTAAGCACAAGAGAGCCCATAGCACCTAGAAATATTAACTATCTAACTTGAAGAGTGCTCCTGATAGACAGTTAATCTTCAAATAGAAGTCTCTCCATTAAATTCTTGGTTATTGCTTTTTTAAACATTTGGGAAAGTTGATGTTACATTATATCTAGGGAATAGTATATCCTTCCCTGTGGAGAAAAAGAAAGCCCAAGGATGAAGAAAGTTGTATTCTTGATCTTAAAAGCATGAATATATGTAGCTATATAATTAGCAGACAGATTTTAGAAGATGTGAAGCAGAAAAGATGCAGAGGAAAAGGTGAGAAATTAAATACAAATGAAAGATAAAAAAATAAATGTGTAAAATGGTTTTATAATTCATGTGGTCGTTTTACCTGCTGATGTACCATCCCACTCTGCTGAAAATCCCTCTCTTGTGCCAAATATGTCACTTACAAACTTTATCCACAGCTTGTTACCGTGAGAGATTATAACAGGAGGCAAGTCTGTACCACAGTATTTTCCAAGAGAAGGAGAAGTTTCATAGCCTCCATCTCTAGAATGATAGAGAAGAAAAACCTTGGGTCAAGAAGGAAACCATGAGAAATGTTAACGAATCAAAAATCTTCAGAATTGTTTCTACAACTACTTGTTTCCTATTTTTAATTTAAGTAATATTTCCAGTAATATTTTCTTATACTGTAATCAGGATGCACACCTAATGTTCTGTTTTGCTACCTGCACATGTCTCATGGGAATAAAAAAGATGGTGACAACCTGCTTATCAATTTCTTTCTAACCTTATCTTTGAGCAATGTCATATTACAAATACCCTACAGGTCATTAGGACAATAATAAATACATTTATATCTATATATGGATGTGATCGCAATATGATGCTTTTTAAGTGGACAGTAATGCTTTCAATTACATTTTCACAGGTTTATATCTGCTTTTGAAATTTCTGCTTAGACCTTGCCACTCTGTTTTCATGTCATTCTCCCAGCTTAACCTGCTTGCCGCTGTCTCAGGTTACTGGCAGTTGAAGAACTGTGCCAGAATCTCCCCTCACTTGTATCTCAGCCTCTGCAGCTGTGGTCAGATGAACAATTTCCTTAGTTGACTGAATGCAAGTTATCAGAGGAGACCTCAGGACAAGAAACCAGAGTGGCACCTCTCCTAAGACTTATCTAGCTACCCCGTTTAATGGTATCAGGCTTCATGAGACATTCTGGAAATCCAGTTATGGCAGCAGCAGCAGCAATGTACTGAGTTGCACTTAGCAATCTTCTGGCCGTATCTTAAACCTTTTTAATGCTGCTGTTCACAGTGAAACCAGACTTCGATTTGTGCATTAAATTAATGTTTTCAGTTCTCAAGGTGAAAAAGTGAAAAAAAAACCTAAAAGACAAACAAGAAAAACCCCCAAAACCAACCCTGATATATTTCAAGTCTGCCTCAAATTAAGGTGTTAACTGTTAAAATAAAGTTAGATTAAATTTAATATCAGATTGTTGTTTTAAAATGAAAAAATGAAACACTTAGAAAACATTGAAAAAGCCTTTCAGTTTTTCATAATTTTCCCTGCTTTGTAG